CACACGATACTGGGTTAAATATTGATTTTTTAATCATTATTTTACAGTGTTGAATGAAATATATTGGTAATCATCTGCCATCTTGGATTCATTTTGGATTCACAGAGCTTGTTGCAGTGCACTCTGGGATTGAAATAGTCTGGGAAGCATAGATTACTGCCTTAGATTTTGGCTAAAAGAAGGTATTTTAGGAGGACGCATAATGTGTTTGTCTGCGTATTACGTAGGCGTTTAAATGATGCCTTTAAACGCTTTTGATGTGGGCGGCTCATCAGGTTTCGTGAACTTCTCTTTCTGACCCTGTTTTCTTGCTTTATAGTCTCTCAGAGGAGCTGAATACACTATTTTTCTTTTCTATTTCTCACAGTCGTTGAGCTGTTTTGCTTCTTGATGTTGTAAATCAGTATAAAATTTAGCTTCACTCGCTTTTCTTTGCTTCTCTTCGCGTTTGTTTTCCATCCAGCTGATGCGCCGTATTTCTTCCTGCCCATTTTCGTTTCTCTTCTTCTCTCGTGCTGTCGCTCTAACGCTCCGGCTCTTCCTTTTGGCCTCTCTGGAAGTAATCACGCTGTGCTATCCCAGAATTCCTGCAGAAGGGAAGAGGGGTGTGGCCTGCGTGTGAGATTACAGGCTGGAGTGGCTTTCTTCGGCTGCCGTTTTACTTTCTCTCTCTCTCTCCGTGACCTCACGGCCAAAACAATGAGCACGGCCTGATGCCGGCGTTGTGGCTTTGGAATATATGATATTATTTTGAAAGAAATAGCTTTAGCAATTTTGACCCATTTTCCTTCAGTCTTCCTCAGTTATTTTAGCAAATGTTTTGCTGTGCTCACATAACCGAATCTCTCTTGTACATACAGTGGGTATAGAAAAGAATCAGCCCCATTTAAAATAATGACATTTTGTTGCTTTGCAGTCTGAAATGAAGACAGACACAGTTTTTGTTTTATCCAGTGCAACTTCAAACATCCAAGTGAAAGATAAAACACCAACATGTCATAAAAAAAATTAAAAACCAGAATCACTGAGTTGGAAAAAGGATCAGCCGCTTGTGTCAGTATTTTGTTGAACCACCTTTTGCTTTAATTGCAGCCTTTAGTCTGTTGGGATTTGTCTTTACTCACTTTGCACATCTAGACTTTGCAATGTCCGTCTTCATTTCAGGCTGCAAAGCAACAAAATGCGATTAAAAGGGGGGTGATTCTTTTCTATACCCACTGTATATGTAGTCTTCACCATATCAGCTATAATTGCCATTCTATCATCAATTTAAATCAATATAAAATGAATAAATATATTCTGATAAAGCCAACATTGGAATCATAGCTTAATACTTGGAATCATAGCTGTTAATCATAGCTAAAGCCAACCTGGAATCATAGCTGTTTTACTAGGTTTCAAAAATATGAAATGCTTATCCAGCTCCAGTTCATTATTTTAATGCTTGATTTCATTTTAAACATGAAAACAGGGAAATTGGTACAGATTTACAATTCATCTCATGTGCCCTTCATATCAAATATCATGCATAAGCAATGTCCATTCATAATGTTTGCATATGCAATCATTATAATCAGTATCATGATTACTGTATTTTTTATCAAATAAAGGCAGCCTTCGTGAGCAGAAGAGACTTCTTTCAAAAACATTAAAATCTTACCAACCCCAAAATTTGAACGGAAGTGAAGCTGGATAACATCTGCTTGAACATTTATGTATGCATTCAAAACAGTCTTAATTCCTCTCAGGGTTTCTTCCTTATGTACATAAACATCTCAGAACAATATTTTGGAACAATATGCTGTCAGACTTTGTTCCATGTCTCGTGTTGTGTTTTCCTTCCCCATGTGCTCAAGGTTAATGTTTATGCCCATATGTGGTTTTTTCCTGTTCCTATTCCCATTTAGTTCTATTGATCCCAGGTGTGTCCCATTAGTTTCTGTTTATATAAAGTGTGTTTTGGCCCTTGTTTCCTGTCCGCTGTCGAATGTCATTTCATGTCCTCAGTGTATCCCGTGTCTCTGTATTCCCAGCTTTCGTTTATTAAATCTTTGAAATTACTTTATTCCTCGTCTCTGCGTTCGTTCCTGTGCTCCCAGTGTGTGTGTCGTGACAGAACAGCAGACCGAAACAGTAAGCGGCGCTCCTTCTCCCGTGTTTTGTTTTCGTTTTTGAATAGTTCTTTGTTTTCTTTTATTTATCCTGTTTGTTCCCCGTGGTGTGAGAACCGCCCTGCTGATAAGCTCGCCGGCTGCCGTTGTCAAGTTCGCCAGCCGCTCCGAAGACAGGCCTCTCAAGCCTGCCAGCCCCGGAGCTCACTCCAGTGTCGGCTCCAGCCCCAGAGCTCGCTCCAGTGAGGGCTCCTGTTCCCGAGTATGGCCCACGGAGGGCTCCTGTTCCCAAGCGGCGCTCCTTCTCCCGTGTTTTGTTTTCGTTTTGAATAGTCCTGTTTTCTTTTGTTTCTCCTGTGTTTTCCCCGCGGTATGAGAACCGCCCTGCTGTTAAGCGTGCCGGCCGCGCCATTGTCAAGCTCTCCGGCTGCGGCTTACCTAAGCCCACCGGCCGCTCCGAAGACAAGCCCGCTGACCGCTCCGAAGATAAGCTCGCCGGCCGTACCGTTGTCAAGTCCGCCGGCCGCGGCTCACAGCCTGCCAGCCGCTCCGAAGACAAGCCCGCCGGCCGCGCCGTTGTCATGCCTACTGGCCACGGCTCACTCTAGCCCGCCGGCCGCGCCGTTGTCATGCCTACCGGCCGTGGCTCCCTCAAGCCCGCCGGCCGCTCTGAAGATAGGCCCGCTGGCTGCCCCAGAGCTCGCTCCAGTGTCGGCTCCAGCCCCAGAGCTCGCTCCAGTGAGGGCTCCTGCTCCCGAGTGTAGCCCACGGAGGGCTCCTGTTCACGAGTATAGCCCACGGAGGGCTCCTGATTCCCCGTCGAGCCCAGGGAGGGCTCCTGTTCCCGAGTATAGCCCAACGGGTATCACACTGGAGGCCCGCCGTCTCGTGTCTGTCCTGAGAGACCTCCAGAGCGCCCGCCCCCCTCCCTGTTGGATGTTGTGCGGCGCGGGACGCGCCTTCCGGGAGGGGGGAGTAGTGTCAGACTTTGTTCCATGTCTCGTGTTGTGTTTTCCTCCCAGCTTTTGTTTATTAAATCTTTGAAATTACTTTATTCCTCGTCTCCGCGTTCGTTCCTCTGCTCCCAGTGTGTGTGTCGTGACATATGCATTGTAAAAAGCACTACAAATGCATTGACATTTGAATTGAAAATTGTATTATCAGCCATGCTATCAGTTATCAGACACATCATATATTTATTATTTTGTCTGCTATTTGTACAACATTTCAGTGCATTAGTGTGTGCTCTTATAGAAGTTGATTTGTATTCATCTAGTATTCTGTAGTAGCGTGTGCTGTTTTGACATTCAGTTTCATGGCCTGTTCTTTCAGCTTTCCAGAAGGGCTGTACTGCTGAGCTTTGTGTTTTTTCAAGGCTTTCCTTCATACTCCCAAGGAGATTAAGAAAAAGGTTTCCTCTGTGATCGCTTTGTGCTTGCCCCTGCCAATATAATCCTAGAACCCTGCAAAGCCGCTCTGGTAACAAATGCAGGCATACAAATACAGCAGAGGTGGGTTGAATTCAACACGAGTCAGCATCATTTCTATTTAAATGGGTCATGTTCTGTTTTCTTATCACCTAATCAGTCAAGATGCACCAAAAACAATTTATCACCCTTTCTCTGATGCTTAGGCTGTGCTTTTAAGACTTTATGCAAATAACTGCTGCCCTGATTGGCTAAATGTCGTTCATGGGCGTGGCAAGTTGCTGAGTACTGGATAAGCGTTGATATGTAAACGTGGGTGTCATATGTTAATGAGTATGATGTCACTGAATCTGTCTTTTCTACTCTGTTCTCTTACAGCTACAAGCATTAAGTATTAAACTAGATTCCCACAAAATATGTATATCTGATATTATTAAATAGCTTTATATCATGAGTTGCGGTTCTGGTTTATTTTGTTTAACTACAAACACGTCACTTATGTAATGTTTGTTAGATTCTTCAGTCATTGCTATTTATAGATAGCCATATCTAATGACCATAATTGACCATATATTGAGATTATTATATATTTTCTGCTATTCTTTTATGTGCATATTGTGTGAAATAAGTGTTTGAATTGTTATAACAATTAGTGTACATATTTGCCATTATTTACATCGGTATCTGTCACTGAAAACCCTTTGTTCAACTACAAGTTGTGACGCTACTGTTCAAAAGTTTGGGGTCTGTACGTTCTTTTTTTTACTACATTTATTCAGTGAGAACACATTAAATTGCTCAAAAGTGATGAAGACATTCATATTGATAAAAAAGATTTATATCTCAAATAAATGCTATTATTTTGATCTTTCTATTGATCAAAATGTTTTTGGAGTTTAGTTTTAGAATTTTGTGAGTAGGCTATTTCTTCATGGTACACTTGTTAAAAATGTTGGGGTTTTGAAGTATTATGCTCACCAAGTTTTCATTTATTTGATAAAAAATACAGTAAAAACAGTAATATTGTGAAATTACTACTATTTAAAATAGCTGTTTTCTATGTGAATATATTTTAAAATGTAATTTATTCCTGTGATGCAAAGCTGAATTTTCAGTCTTCAGTGTCACATGATCCTTCAGAAATGATTCTAATATGCTGATTTGCTGCACAAGAAACATTTCTGATTATTATCAATGTTGAAAACAGTTGTGCTGCTTCATATTTTTGTGAAAACCGTGATACATTTTATTTTTCAGGATTCTTTGATGAATAGAAAGTTCAAAAGAACAGAATTTATTTGAAAGAGAAATATTTTGTAACATTATAAATGTCTTTACTGTCACTTTTGATGAATTTAATGCATCCTTGCTGCATGAAAAGCTTGTTTCAGTTGCCTTTAAAAAAACAGGTAATAATCTGAATCCACTAATGCGTCTCTCTGATGTGTCTCTTCCTGGGTAGTTTGGTCTGTTTGGACCGCGAGCACTGGGCAGGGCTGTGCACGCTGCCGCCGATGGCCCGGGCCTCAGCAAGGCCGAGTTCATGGAGAAGGTGCGGCAAAGCAACGAGGCCTGCCAGCTGGGAGACTTCCAGACGGCCGTGAAGCTTTACGGCGAGGCCCTGCACGCCGACCCACAGAACTGCATCCTGTACAGCAACCGCTCGGCCGCCCACCTCAAACTGGGTCAGTACCAGACTGCCCTGGATGACGCAGTCAAAGCCCGCCTCCTTAACCCCAAATGGCCAAAGGTGAGTGTATGGGCGGGGCTTCGCATCTTTTATTCCAGGTTACAGGTGAAGACATCTCTCGTTCCTTGGTCGTCATCTTCATGTGCTCTATACAGTTTTTTCCTCAGCTCAGAGAAGCAGAGATCATCTCTGTCTTCCGTTTCTTTGTTTGTTCTTTTAGCATTCATTGCAGGTACAGCAAGCGGAGAGCTTGAGAATTTGCCAAATCGCCTCTTAACGCACATTTCTCAGCTGTGATGCTAACAGGCACTCACAGCAGAACATCACGTCTGAAAAATGATCGCAGTAGTGGCCTTGTGGCAGGAGCTCATCTGCTCTTGGCAACAGGAAAAGGGCACGCTGTGATAGACTTACTAACAAACAACACCATTTCACAGGCTTTTTTTACTATATGTGACCCTGGAGCACAAAAGCAGTCTTAAGTCGATGGGGTATATTTGTAGAAATAGCCAAAAATACATTGTATGGGTCAAAATTATAGATTTTTCCTTTATGATAAAAATCATTAGGATATTAAGTAAAGATCATGTTCCATGAAGATATTTTGTAAAGTTCCTACCGTAAATATATCAAAACTTAATTTTTGATTAGTAATATGCATTGCTAAAGACTTAATTTGGACAACTTTAAAGGTGATTTTCTCAATATTTAGATTTTTTTGCACCCTCAGATTCCAGATTTTCAAATAATTGTATCTCGACCAAATATTGTGCTATCCTAACAAACCATACATCAATGGAAAGCTTATTTATTCAACTTTCAGATGATGTATATAAATCCCAATTTTGAAAAATGTACACTTAAGACTGGTTTTGTGGTCCAGGGTCACATATGCTCGCTCTCTAACATTTAGTGAGTATTAAACTAGATTAATTATATAGAGAGAATTTGATTAGTCGGATTCAGTTTCTGACATAGTTCCCACAAAATATGTTTAATTGGGCGATATTTGGCCATATTGAGATGATTAGCATTGGTGAGAACCTCGCTGATTTAGTTTCTTCATGTGTCATTGAAGTATATGCATTTTTAAATTTTTTTTTTGCACGCATATCATGTAAAATAAGTGTTTGATTCATTATAGCAGTTAATGTATGTATTGTTTGCAATCATTTACATCAATATCTGCCTTTCAAAACCTTCTTTGTTTGACTACAAGTTGTACTGTAGTTGGATTCAGTTTCTGGCGCAGTTCCACAAAACATGTTTGATATTATTTACCATATTTATATCACCAGTTGCAGTTCTGCATAATTTTTATTAACTCCTACAGATCACCAACGTAATGTTAGATTCTTCAGTCATTGCTAGTTATAGATAAACTGGTTCGGATGATTTATTAGCCGATATTTGGCCTTATTGAGATTATTAGCATTAGTTTCTGCTTGTGTCAATAAATTATAAACATTTCTGTTATTCATTTGAGTGCATATTGTGTAAAATAAGTTTTCGATTAATTTCAGCATGTAGTATACATATTATCTGCCATCATTTACATCGGTATCTGCCATTGAAAAACCTTTTTGTTTGACTACAAGTCGTTACGCTACTGTTCAAAAGTTTGGGGACAGTAAGATGTTAATGCTTTTATTCAGCAAGGACGCATTAAATTGATCAAAAATGACAGTGAGGACATTTATAATTTTGCAAACAGATTTCTATTTCAAATAAAGGCTGTTCTTTTGAACTTTATTTTCAAGAATCATGTAAAAAATGCATCACAGTTTCCACAAAATTATAAAGCAGCAAAACTGTTTTCAACATTGATAATAATAATACATTTTCTTGAGCAGCAAGTCAGCATATTAGAATGATTTCTGAAGGATCGTGTGACACTGAAGACTGGAGTAATGATGCTGAAAATACAGCTTTGATCACAGGAATAAATGACATCTTAACAGATATTCACATAGAAAACACTTATTTTAAATTGTAAAAATATTTCAGAATATAACTGTTTTTGATCAGATAAATGCAGCTTTGGTGAGCACAAGAGACTTCTTCCCCCAAACTTTTGAACGATACTGTATTAAGTCCTTATGTCTCATATAGGATGTTTGTAGCCCAGTGGTTAGTTCTGTGCTGCTAATAGAAATGTTGCAGGTTCAGTCTTACATAGGTATGACAGACTAACGTTAGAGTTGTTGATATCTTGCTCATATCTGGTGAAATTAGTGTTCTTGAGCTTTTACTGCACCTGAAATGAGTGTATCATAAGTTGCTTAGGATAAAAATGTCGGCCAGCATATTTATATTATATCAATTTAGGTTGTTTATCAATATCGCATTTTTGTTCTACTTTGAACCGGGCGACCCACACATATGTGTGCAATCTTAACAGCTCTAGTCGTAAGTATTTTGTAATCACGCAAACATGTTGGCTTTAATAAGAGCTGAGAATATTGAAATGGCCTTTTTTCTCATTCATAAACCGCCTCAACGCTCTGAGAGAAAAGCGTTTTGCGCAGACTTGAGTGGTACTTCGGTTTGGTCTTGCTTTGACCACACAGTCCTCTCCTCCCCAGCCCAAAGCACATGTGGCAAAACCCAAACCCAGCGAGGAACGTTAACCTCTGTATGCATTGCTGCCCGTCTTCTGCTTTCTGACTTTTCATTTGCTGCACGGAGCCAGAGAGGCGGGACTTTCTCGCTTGGCACAGAGAAAAGGGCAGAAACATGGGTTCAATTTTACTCAACCAAAACGTGTGAAATAGTTTTCTTTATGAACAGCGGGCTCTCTGAGACACGACAGGGGAGTGTTCGAACTAACCAGCGCCACAAGTACAGCGCTCGGGATCTAGCCGAGGACGTTTTGTGGGAACGAGCAGACAGCGATCCCTGTATCGCAGAGGCTGTGCTTCCTTTTGGAACAGAATAGGAGGAAGTAGTGGGTGTGGGGCCGAACTGCTGTTTTGTTGTGGAAATCCTGGACGGGTTCAACGGCAAACTTGTGCTGCGAGGACAATAACTGCAATAACAGCAACATTCCACCCACTTTACGGGCCTGAAACGCTGCAGTTTTGCCCTGTTACGCATATGCGGAGCTTTTCTGACAAAAGTCTCATAAAAAACACAAATAAACAAACAAAAATGAAGCTATGACTTGGCCAGGGATATTTCAGGGATTTAATGGAGTGTAGAACTTTGTCTTAGATGTTCCTTAAAAAAATGAAATTATTCAATTCAGTTCAATTAAAATAAATTAAAAAGTAAAAATTGATTGAAATTATACAATTGTTCATATAGAGTAAAAATATAGCAATAAAAGTAGATTTTTCAAAGCGATATTGTGGTTGGCTTAAAAACTTTCCTTGTATTTGAGTTTTAGTGCTCTGATTGGTTGGTTGATAAGGTGTTGCTAGGCAGTTGCTAAGCGTGTTCTGATTGGTTATATTCTGTTTTATTTTATTTTGATACTGTATGGTGTGATGGTGTAAGTTCCTCCTTCAGTTTAAATAAACACTATTGTTCAAATCTTTGAGTTTTTTTTTTTTTTAACCAAGATGCATTAAATGACCAAAAGTCACAGTAAAGACATTTATAACGTTACAAAGGATTTATATTTCAAATTAGGGATGTAACGGTATGAAAATTTCTTATCACGATTATAGTGACCAAAATGATCACGGTTATCAGTATTATCACGCATGTTTGCTGCACGCAGCTTCGCGCTCCTGACGCGGTGAGTATAAACCAGGCTCTACACTCGAAGAGCTGCGCAGCTCAAATGAGTCGCGCGGTTTCGTTATGCTTTCAGTTTTGTTTGTCGTTTGATGTTTCTCACATGCAACAGAAATGCAGCGCTTATGAGTTAAACAATGCGGTGATCGCACCAGTGCAACCGCACACAAAATTTAGTCGCACCGGCAGAAAAAATTATCGCAAAATGCGCCCATTTGGTCGCACACTGGAGCCCTGTGCAGTACAGTATTTATTTATCCTCAGTTGTTCAAATCGCGGTAATCGAATACGGTTATAGTGATAATTAAAATATGAAACGGTAATACTAACCGTGGGGTATTTTATCACGATTTATCGTCAAACTGGTAATCGTTACATCCCTATTTCAAATAAATGCTATTTTGCACTTTTCTATTCATCAAAGGATCCTGAAAAATCCTGGTTTCCACAAAATTATTAAAAAGCAACTGTTATCTAACTGTTTTCTATGTTTCTTGAGCAGCAAATCAGCATATTAGAATGTTTTCTGAAGGATCATGTGACACTGAAAACTGGAGGAATCATGCTGAAAATTCAGCTTTCATCACAGCAATAAATTACAGTTTAAAAATATATTCAAGTACAAAACAGTTATTTTGATTTGTAATAATATTTCATGATATTACTGTTTTTACTGTATTTTTGATCAAATAAATGCAGCCTTGGTGAGCAGAAGAGACTTATTTCAAATTTCAAAAAAACCCAAAAATGTTGAACTTTAGTGTATGCATTTTAATAGTCAATTTGATCACGTTCCATGTTCCATGCCAAAGTCTGATCATTTTGAAACATAGCAGGAAACCTCTTCTCAATCACTGATGTAATATAAATGGTGTAGATAGAATTATAAGCCACAGTTTAATATTGAGTGTCATTTAGTCTTGAGCACAGATCGCACTTGATCTAATGAATGAAATTTCTAAGTGTTTGTTTTTTAATCTGGACTCGTGTTTACAGCTCTGAATTTCTCTTAAACGTAAGGAAAAAGACACAGTAGAGACAGTAGAGACCTTTTTGTGGGGAAATAAGCCAGTACTTCACACCTGATAGCCAGGCAAGAGCGACAGAAGCGACAGAATGTTGTAAGTCCTTGTGTTGATTGAAAGCTGTTGATGTTTTTTCTCCTCGTCACACACTCAGGCGCCTCTCAACCCTTTATGAGAGGCCACGGCGAGTGATGAATGTGAAGAGAAGGCAAATGAATGCAGACGAATGTCTCTTCTCCTGCGAGAGCTCGAGGACGCTGAAAGACTTGAGACATCAGTGTTTTTAGCTGTATT